AGTCTTATTCCCTGTTCTTAAAAAAGAGCAGGGGATTGGAAGGAAAGGAAGGCTGTGGAAATGACAATCACTGAAACTCAAAAGTTGGAACCTTAGGTGGGGAAAGCAGAGAGGAAAAGTATAAAAGCAGAGAAGACTTTGCTTAAGGCAGTGAGGTTTATCTGCTGAGCTGATTGGTGAGGCCGTGTGTCTGAGTTAAAAAGGCTTGAGAGAGTTGCTTGGCATAATTTCTCCATCTTCAATGATTTACTACTGAAGTGCAAACATCAATTTTAGACTCTCCTGAGAAACATTTAACAAAGTCATTGAACTACTGGTACCCTGATATCTTTCTAGATTTGCCAAACTTGGAAAGCTCTTGAGTAAACCTATCCTGGAAGTTTCTATCAGTCTTTTTTTTTTTTTTTTTTCCTTACTGAGGAAACAGGTCCATTAGTAAACATGCAGATGTAAAAATGATCTTCTTCTTTACTTCTCGGTTGTGATATATCTTAGGTTGTTCAGAAGTGCACTCTGTTGTTAAAGCTATTTGTGCCGGGTGTGCTAATGCACTCTTTGATTGAGTGAATTAGCAGTCATAACAATCTGGCAGTCTGGCCATAGAAGTGTGCTCAAATTGATTTGTGTTATGGCTGGACTGGAAAATCTAGTGTTAGTTGTTTTTTGCCCTGGGGCATTGTTTGTACCAAACTCCACTTTTCATTTAATTTTCCAATACATTTTGAAAGATTGAAATGCTTGTGATCAACATTTGATCCACTTGCATTATTTAAAAAAAAAATTCTGAAAGTAATTTCAGATTCCAAAAAACCTTGCTTTCAATTAGAGTAAACATAATTAGAGTGACGTCGTGCTCGGAATGGTAAATCTCCCTTTGAATCTATTAAGCATGTTATCTCCTTGTCCTGTGACTGAAAGGAATTCAGGATATATCTGAAGTATACATCTGTATTTTCCTGTGCATGTTTCTCATAGAACTTGGGAAAAATTAAAACAATAAGATTATAATGGACCTTTTCTGTTTTTTTCTTTCTGCATATGCCCAAAATTGTTTCTGTTTCATTTGGTGATGCTGTTAGGAGAGGATCCTGAAAGCTTTCAGGAAAATTTAAGAAATTCAAGAAACATATTCAGATATGAATTGCCCTTAAGTTACCCAATCATTTTCATTTTTTACAATCTATGAAATATGTATTTTCAATCTTTTTCTTACAAATAACTATATCAATTGCTATATTGAAACTCTGAAGATTTAAAGACATGACTTATTCTCCCTTTGTCAATATCTGTATCTTCCTTACAATCTTCTGCTTTGCAGTCATTTACCAGAATTATAATGCAGCATGAATAAACCTAAAAAATGACTATTGATTACAGAAAAAGCTTTGTGAAATCATTTAGTCAGTTTCCCCACTTGAGAAATCAGTGAATAAAATAGGTCAATAGATAAGGATGAATGGATGTAATACAGTACTATAGCTCCCTGGGTTACAAAAAGGGTCAAAAATAAATCCCCCTAGAATTCGTGTTTTTATACTCATAGAATAAAATGATACTTACCAAATCCCAACTATATGTCCACTTTTATACAGATTTAGTCTTCTTTTTTTAGACCACATACATTCAAGGTATAATTTCCCCTCTTTCAATAGCAGTATCTCCTTGCCACTGCCCCTTTTAACTAAATAGGATGCCCTCATCACTGGCTAAAGTGCCTGTTGTCATCCAGGTATTCAGCGGGACTTTAGCTGCAACAGCTAGCTACTCTGTATTTCCTTACTGTCTCCCGTAACCTTACAGCTCTTCTCAGAACTCCTTTCATACTGTTCTGGACCCTATTCCGATTTTTAAGTAATAGGTGGTGAGACCTGAGACCACTCTCTCTATTAGTTCCCATTCATCCGGATGTCCTCGGGGGCTCGGGAGGAGGGGGGAGGGGAGGGGCCAGGAGGGGGCAGAGGGAGGGAAGAAAATACCTTCCCTGAACTCGTACAAACTCAGCTTCAAACGATATCCTAGGAAAGAAATTAAAGACTTCTTAATTAGTGCAGCAATTAAGCTTTCTTGGTAGCATTTTAATCAGCACAGGCCCTATCAAAGGACAAACAGAACGATTTGCAGGTCTTTGAATTTTAAACAGTCTTATTGATTTCAGCACAATACGTCTTCACAAAACACAGGGAGAATTTTCTAATATCAGTTACAGTACTTTGAGTTTTGCTTATGCAAATTGAGTGCAGGTTGGAGAAGATGAGATGGAGGGAGAGAAGTGGAAACAACCAGAGATGTAAAAACAATAAACAAACAAGACAAACGCTTTTAAAGCCAAAGCTACGATGCAAAGAGTGAGAATTTGAAATCTCTCTAGAGTTGATGTATCTGCTGTGGTTAAATACTGTTTGCCTTAATCACTGACAACATTTCTAAAAATAATAGAAACCTTAAATTTCCTTTCCAAACTATTTTAGTTTGCATTATATCTTTCCTCTAACCCTATTGTTTGATCAAATGGCAAATGGTAGTTCTCAGAAACGTTTATAGAATCCTGAGGTGGGGGTGGAGGTTGGCGGAAGCTTCCATTCAGGTGAGGATAAACGCCCCAAGCCTTGCTTTTGAGTGGGTCATGTCTTGGAAAGGAAAAGGTTTCCCTGCAGAAATTTGAAGTTTGCTTGAAGCAGTTATGGCTTGGTCAATTATCATTACATCCATTCTGGGATTTGTGAATGTGACAGGTACTGGGTGAGTGACAGTTTAAGAAAATGTGAGAAAAGAGAATGGGTAGATTTGGGGCATTTAATTTTGACAATTTTTTTTCTTTGTGGTCTACAGTTTATTATGAGCAAACTAGTTTAGAGTTTTTAAACTATATCATGGCTTACTAAAGTTGTACATACGTTCCAAAATTAAATGTTTTTTGAGACTACCTCCTTCTTTCCCACCAGTCATTAAGGCAGTAATTTTGCCTTTTTATAAAAGGTAACATTATGCACAAATATGTAAAAAATTGTTATGGCACATTATAGATACTGAATTCTTATTTTTACTTAGGACAGATATGAGGAGTGAAAAATTAACATAAGTTATCTCTAACTGTATTAAGATATATTGGCTAACTAGGCCAAATGAACTGTGTGTACTTGTGTGATCTCTAGAAGCTTATTTACATTTTGGTAACAATCAATTGTCTGAATTCTTATGACCAAGGAAAGCCTCTTTACTGCCTTGTCCCAAAAAGTTTACCATAAAATTAGATAAATTAGTTAATAGTGTCAGACTGCTCTGTAGATACTCCCTGTACCTTTGACACTAAACTTTCAAAACTTTAAAGAATTAAAATGATAGAAAGAAATGTGAAAATAATTTGAACATTAAACTGGCAAATTTTCATCATGAAATTTCCCAACATTATGAACCTGACACTGATAGTTTTTTTTTTTAATCTGCTCAGTAATAAAGCATTGTTTCATAGCTTATGAAGTTGATGAACATGTAGAGACAGGTTTAAAGTCTAATTACTTAAGATACCTAGAGATATAAGCAGAAAACAGTCTTGACCTTTGCTGAATCTTATATTGGTTAAAAATCCTTGAATAAATACTCCCATGCAACAAGTTAGAAAGGGGAAGAAAAGGAGCGAGAAAGGCAAGAAAAAGGAGAATCAGTCTCAACTAAGTCTGATATTTTTAAGCACAGCCATCCTTTCTGCCTGTACAAGTCAATTAATGGGCTTTGTTTTTCTTCTTTTCGTTTACAGAATACATTTTCACTGATAAACTGAATAGGTGTTTCTCAGAATATACTGATACTTTTCAAATATGAAAAAAATATTATTAATCACATAACACATTAGCAACCATCCTTGAGTCTTATCGGGCATGAGGACAGTCTGTTGCTGGACAGACAGGTGAATTAATTATAGAGTTTTAGGTGAGAAAAATCCGTGTGTTCTTCTTTTGCACTTTCTAAATCTTCAGGGGTGCCTGACCTATTCGAATTCCCTAGGTAAAACAGGCTTTTCAGACATGTCTTTAGGACAAAAATGAAGTTATTTTGAACATTCTACATCATGGCAAGTATATCTTGCTTGCCACAACCTATTAGGAAGTAAGACCTGAATATAGATCAGTCCATTATTCTTAAGCGATTTCAGACCTATCCCCAGCCACTACCAACTTGAAAACTGTCCTGGAATTTTTACTATCTTTATGCAAATAAATAGTGTAATAGACAAAAACCGATCAGATACATAAAATCTACGCTTTGCTTACATGTGAATTTTCCTGAAAACAATTTCTTAATAATCAGGACGGGAGGGGATGTGTTTTCATTTAGGTCTCTTTGCAAAGAGAAACGGAGACAGATCCTAAATCCTTGAAGGAAAGCTCGGAGCGGAAGGGCTCCTCTTTAAGTTGGCAGCGATTGCTTAGAAGGTTTTGGAAAAAATGACTAGTCGTTGCGGAAGAAATGCAGTATTAGACATGCAATCTAACGGTAGTAGAAGAAGAGAAGTAGATGATCTCCCTCTCCCTTTCCTATTGCGACTTCTGTGTCCCCGGCTTTTTCTCTCCGTCCCTCCCATAGTTTTCCCCTTATCACCCCCCCCCCCCCCCCCCCCCCCTCCCCTTTTCTCGCTTACTCGCTTTCCCTCTGTGTCTCGCACTCTCGGAGTCTTTGCTCCGAGTTCCTGGTTGGATAATTTGGGTTAATACTAGTGAGTGAGGTTTTTGCGGCTTCAAAGGGTATTTCAAGTTTCCGGAGCTCCTCCCCTCTGCACCGTGTGACAACAACAACTCCTCCAGCCGGCAGCCTGCACTTTTCAGCTCATTTTCTCTCTGTCATTCCCCTCTCAATCTTTGATCAATGTACTTGCCTGGGAGAACCCAAGTCCTTCAAATCTCCTCCTTTTCACCTTCATCCTTAACTTTATGCTAGAGCGGGACCCACACAACAACAGCCGACCCTCCCCGCCCCCACCCCCCCAAACCAGCCCCCGATCCCAGCCCCCGGAGAGGACTCGCATTTCGACTTGCGGGACACTTTTGTGCGTTTCTCTCCAGAGCGCCTCTCGCTCTCGCCCCTCCTGCGCTCGCTCTTTCTTACCCTCACCTCCTTTCCCCCCTTCTCTCCCCTTCTCCCGCTCTCTCCTGGAGTTGTTGTTGTGGCCCCCTAGCTCCTTCTTCCCCCCTTTCCCCCCTTCACCTCCCCGGGGTGAGTGGCAACTTTTCCCCTAGCTTTTCCTCCTCCTGTTTCCCCTTATATGTGACCATGGCAGTGCCGGCGGCTTTGATCCCTCCGACCCAGCTGGTCCCCCCTCAACCCCCGATCTCCACGTCTGCTTCCTCCTCTGGCACCACCACCTCCACCTCCTCGGCGACCTCGTCTCCGGCTCCGTCCATCGGGCCCCCGGCGTCCTCAGGGCCAACTCTGTTCCGACCGGAGCCCATCGCTTCGGCGGCTGCGGCGGCCACGGTTACCTCCACTGGCAGCGGAGGCGGCGGCGGCAGCGGCGGCAGCGCGGGCAGCGAAGACCATCATCGAGCTCAAGTACGGGCCCGAGATGGAGGCGCCCGCCGTGGCCCCTGCCCCCCCATGGCCATTACCCCTCCCCAGTGGCCCCTCCCTCACCGCGCGCCCTGCCCCTGCCCCCCCCGGGTCACCTGCGCTGAAGGCCCGTCCACTGCCGGCGTCTGCCGCTCGAAGAGGTTTCGGGTTATTTTTATCCTTCGGCGGCTGCGGCGGCCCGAGCTGGTACTGGCTGCCGTGGGGGGAGGGGGGCCGCGCCCCTGAAAGCAGGCATTGTGCGGCCGGCCCCGCGGCGCCGGACACTCGCCCCCATTGTCCCCGAGGCCCCCAGGGACAGAGGGTGCCGGCCCCCTGGAGGGCCGCGGTGACGCCC